CCACCAAAGAGGTATCTGTAAAATGCACACCTGATCAGGTGGACCTAAGATGAAGTCCAAGCTCCTGGCCAGGCAGATGAAAGCCCTCTGCAGCCTGGCCCTGTTGCCTCTCCTCAAACTTCCCCATCTCTGCCCACACTCCTCCTGCTCTGCTCACACTTCTCAGACTCCCAAATGCATCAGGCTCTCCTGCTCTTTGGTCTTTGCTTCCCCCTGCCTGGAGCCCTCTTCCTTCAGGGCTCAATCCTAATGCCCCTCTCCTCTGGGAAGCCTTCCTTGACCTTGTCCGCCATCTGTAAGGCTTGGTTTTAGGAGTTGTGACCCTGTGGTCCCACAGCATCTGGCTTTCCCTCTTACTGTTCTGGGTTGAAAAGGTGAAACGGTCTGTTGACACCCATCTCTGCAGTAGAGGTTCAGCCCTACGCTCGACAAGCAAGCACTGTGCTATTCACCATTTCTCCTCTAGGCCTGAGCCCTGTTCTCACTTTACTGAACTCAGGGAACATATCGGATTCATATTTGGTTCTCTGGATTTATCACAGCGCTTGGGTACAGCAGGGAGGCGTAAAAAGTAGTGAACGAATGCAATATTCTCTTGGCTGAAATTCAGTTCTGAGATTAACACCCTTGAACTTGGTACTTAGACCCCTATTTGGTGCCCAAATGTCCGCATGACATGTACAGATGGCAAGCAGACATTTGTTTCTGACATATGTAGGATAAGATACACCAAGGATAGGGGTGTGATACAAGCATCCCTAAAGCGAATTCCCAGAACTGGGGACAGGCCATCTCCATGCATTTGTTTTTTGCTTTTGAGTCTAAAGATCCTCCTTATTACTTAGTAGCTAGTCATTTCATCTTGCTGGGACTCAATTTCTTCATATAGCGAATGTGTCTTTTCCAGCTTCAAAGGCCTGCAGGAGGAAGTGGCCTGCTATTTTTACACATTGAGTTTGAAAGTTATTTTGAATAAGAAGGCTCCTGGAAAAACTAAAATACTCTACCAATGTATCTTGCAACTCACACTTCAGTGTTCATACAGAAAAGTTTAAAGATGGCAAGTGGGTTAAGGTAATTTAGCAATAAGTTGTTCTAAAAACATTTTGTGGAGAATATACATATAAACAATTATAGACAAAATTATAAAGTGTCTGGTATTTTAAAAGAATATACAGAGAATACAGCAATCATGGCAGAGTCAGGAAGTCTAGTGGTAACCAACCTATGATTTGCAGTATTTGTAAAAAAATTTTAAAAAACTAAAATTGCACTGTTTTATTTTTTAAACTGCTGAACAATATTACGAGATGATTCCGCAATGCTTCCCCTTCATATATACTCAAAACTTTTAGGTCACCGACCTAGTGTAGCCCTTCCACAAAACATGATTTGTGTTGGCGATGCCATGAAGTCAGGTATATTGGCATCAATATTACAACATATAAAACCCTAAGTACCGTAATTTTGGTGATTGATTTTAAAATCGCTTTGATCAAATCTATGATTTTTACAAATGTAAAGAAACTCTAATAGACCCTTAGGTCTCTTCCAAGTTCTCAAGTTCAAGGGGCCTTGGTGATATTAACTTCCTAGTTTATTAACTTTCTTTACTTTCCTAAAATTAGGCACATATTTAGAAAAATTAGGCACATATTTAGAAAAGGCCCTTAACAGTCTTACCACTTCATGCACTTAAAAAAAAAATGAGCAGCAATGCTTGTGTTTTCTTAGCTTACTCAAAATAGTTCCTTAGTAAACACCATCAGCTCTCTCTATGCGTTACAAATCTTCTCTTGATATAGTTTTATCTATATGTGATCTTGCACTTTTCATTTTGGAGCTTTTTAAAGCCCAAAATAAACAAAAATCTTAAGAAGTATGACCGTCTTAATAGATTACGCATTTAAGACACCATAATAGTATAAAACCTCTTATTCCTTATCAAACATAAAGGGAGGAAAATAAAATATTTTGTTTTACACACACACACACACACACACACACACAGATGGAGGCTTAAAAGCTGCAACATACTTCCAAGCCCTAGTTTTAGGAGGAAGAGTATTCATTTGTTTTTTCACTCAAACCCATGTATTTAAAATCAAGTATTACTCTTTTAAATAGCATGCCTCATTTGTGGTGAGCTCCTAAAACAGGAAGATTTTTGGGCAAGTGTCGTACCCCTTCGATGCCCCAGGAAATTCTAGCCAGACCAGATTCCACTCCACTTTTAACAAACCACACACGAGCTTATTTCCGTCTCTTTGCTGATATCCTCCATATTACATATGTTCTCCTTCAAAATTCCACTCTGCCATCTTCCGTGAGGCCTGCTCTGCCAGTCCCATCTGGCCTGGGCTTTCTCCTGAGTTCTGAAGCTTCTGGATTTCTAGTCATGAGCAGTCATGTTGGTCTCTCAGTTTCTTTTTCTTCCCTGTCCTCACTCCCTAATCTATGCCCTATGAAGACCAGGCTAAGAGAAGGTGAGGTGGGGGTGGGGGGCTGTATTGCCTTCTTTCCTGTTCGGTTCCCGGCACCTAAAAGTGCCTGGAACGTGGGGTGCTTCGGGAGCTGCTTAATGATGAGTGACCTAGTGGTATGAAAAGATACCATGTGCATACATACATGCTATCTTTTATCCAGGTCCTTTTTAAGGGCAAGGACCATTTTATTGTCTTAGGTCATTTCTATCACTGTGCTCGTAAACATAACAGGCTAGAGATAGAAACTCTATTTAGAAGCACTGAAAGATTGGGGTCCCCTGAGCCTAGTGCCTCACTTGAAAAAGTTAAAGATTTATAATATTGACTTTTGTTAGCAGGACCATTTTAACCAGTAAATGACATCGAATGCTTCTAAAAACAAAATGGATCTCAGTTTTTGGTAAGAGTTCTAAAGTCAAAATATATAATGGTGAAAATCAGAGTAAAGATGGTCCTTGAAAAATCTTTTCAGTGGGTCTCCCCCCAACTATAGCAGACATGGTTTTGTACATGTCTCATTGTGTTGAGGTAAATACAGTAAAACAGTATGATTTCTACTAGGGCTGGGAACAGAGTGGTTTCTTCTGGTAAGCATCATATAAAGTCGTTGCATTTTTAAGGCTCGTGGACTAGGAAAAGACGCTTTTTGGTTTTTATTTCCTTCTTTTTCTTACAAACATAAGTCTGTGGTCGAATTAACCAAGCATGAAATGCAACACTACTGAAAACCAACTGTTAAGATAATGAATTAATTCTACAAATAAAAACTGCCAGCAAGAGGTTAGTGACAAAAGCATGAGTCTATCCGTTCGGAAGCTACTACAGTGTATCCTCGAATACCAAGTCTCAACTAACACTTAGAAAATTCCCCCTATATTTATCCAAGTAACCCATCAGCTCTGCACCATCCTCCCTACCATATATGTCTACCTTTACAAACAAATTATTTATCAAAAAAAAAAAAAAGGAAAAAAAAAAAGCAATTTTTTTCAAAAGTATTTCTCTAAAAATAAGAACAAAACCTAGATTGTGGAGAACTGTTTTTGATAGCTGGCTACAAGTTATTCGAGAGAGTTTGCATATTTTAAAATCAGAAACAAATCCAGTTAAAGCAAAGACACCGCAAAAATGTCTATGTCCGCCTTGTCTCCCCTTCCACACACACAAAATCAAGTCTAGTCATAAAAAGAAAGACTCCGTGTAATTATCATATGACCCACAATTGCACTCCTGGGCATTTTTCCCAGGAAAAATGAAAACTTATGTTCACACAAAAACCTGTACACAAATGTTTATAGCAGTTTTGTTCATAACAGTCAGGAACCGGAAACAAGCTTTTAGTCCTGACCGGTGATGGTTAGACAATCTGCAGACCTTCATACCCTGGACTACTACCCAACGATAAAATAGAATAAATTCCTGAGAAGGGCAAGTCGAATCTCCAGAAAAAATAGGCTGAGCGAGAAAAGCCAATCCCCGCACGGTAACACACAATAGAATCCCACTTATAGAACACTCTGGCAAAGACCAAATTAGATAGAGATGGAGAACAGGCAAGTGGCTGCTGGGATTAAGGAGAAGGGCAGGGGAGAAGCGAGTATGGATATGAAAAGGTAGCAGGAAGAATCCCTGTGGTGAAGGGAATGTTCTGAACCTTGAGCGTATCAGTGTTAACGCCCAGGCTGTGATACTATTACACTACATATTACAAGTGTCACGATTAGGCAAAACTGGGTAAAAAGTACAAGGGGTCCCTCCATTAGTTAATACAACTGCATGTGAAACCTACTTATCTCGAAATACAAAGTTTAGTTAAAAATTTCAGAAGAAGCAATATTCTAGTCTAATAAATTTACTTGGCCATCTTGAGACCCGAGCTTGAGAATACATCACAGCCTCTTTGATGCTTTGTAGAAACTACAGAAGTGGCTAGAGTACAAACTGGATCAAGAACAAAATAGGGACCCACAGCCATTTCTCCAGGTGTCACCAGCATCTGTGAATCTCCCCAGTTCCCTCACAGAGGACTGTCTCTGATCGGATAGGCCCCTTAGCAGTGTTCACACTGCAGAGGCCAGAGGCATCCTTCTGTTTTCCTACAGCTGCCACGGGCCACAACAAGGCATTTCCCAATGGCAAGGCAACCCATTATTAGTCGGTCTACACAAATAAAAAAACTCTGTGAGAGAACTGGATGTCACCTCCTTTACATAAATCAAATATTCAAACACATAACAAATGATCTGCCCAGTAAGGCAACATTTTCTTGTAACGGAGTTGAGCAAACAGATTTTGTGAGCAGAAATGTTCTATTCCAGGGGGACTAATATAGAGAAGTAAAATATATGTCTGGATTCCTTTCAAGTCCTTCTTCTCCCATAAATGTTAATAGTTGTATCAGTGACGCTGGACTGCTAGAAGAATCGTTATGACAGAGGGAGGGATTTTTTGGGGACCCCTCTTTTTCAAGTATAAACATTCATTCGATCCAATAAAGACATTTTAGGAAAAAAGTCAACATATAGAAATGATTTTATTTTTTCTATACTTTGATTCAAACAGAAAGTGTTTGGTAATACTCTACAATACTAATCATTTCAAATAAAATGGATGATCAAGAAGAGTATGACCTTCTTCTGCAAAACAACTGAGGATCTGAATTGGAAAAATATTTTTATCTATAAATAGCAGTATCCAAAACAATTTAAACCTCTTGAGCACTTCACTGTTCCAGGTCCTTTGCGTCTAGATTGAACAGACCACAGGAAGTTTCAAACCCCGACAGCTGAATCTAAAAGGAAAAAAAAAAAATCCATTTAGTTGTCATGATCATTGTCACCATCAATCCCTAATATCTCAGACTTTCCTGACCGCACTCAATTTCCCCATGCTGCTTTCAGCTTGGAGGAAGACAAATCACTAATCAATTATGTACACTAATTAAAAACGCTACCTTTAGGAGGTGTTTTCATACCTTAGTAATGGGGTGAGTATTTCCTCTTGCCACTGACTTTGAAACCTTTTTGACGTCACGTTAGCCAGGATGCACCGAACATTTGCAAACACTTAATGCTACAGTCTATGTACACTATCGAATTGCCCTCCGAAAGTAGTGGTATGATTCTGCAACTGGTTGAGGTCACATGGAAAATAGAATTATATGCTAATTTGTTCCTATATTAAGTTATCATAGAAGGTCAGACCAAACACAGCAAAATGAATTCTGGAAAAAAAATTAACTAAGTAGATTGGTATGTACCGTATCAAAGTAAACTGTTTATCTTAATAGATACAAATACAAGAAAGATTTTTTTAAATGCAGGCATTTTCTCCTTTTCAAAAAATAAATGTTTTAACTAACCCCAGGCAATGAATGCATGATCTGAAAACACTCTATATAAATAATTTTTCCCTAAAGAAGAACAAGGGCAGAGTATTTTTCCCCCCAAGGGGGGAGAAAATGGAGAAGGGCATCGTATCCAAAAGAGAATAATTTCCCCAGAAAAAGCTTTCCTTTAACTACATATTTATTAAAACTTGCTTCACCTAAGTAGTTGTACCCATGCACTGTAAAAAAAATGAACACATAGGTTTAAACTATATGATGGGGTCAAGAGATGCTGAGTATAATACATGTATTATTTAACTCCAAAATAAACTAAACAACAATATAGATTTTTCATTAGCCCAGATTTATCTGGGAAAAAAAAAGTTTTATTTAAAAAACTATTGAGGAAAAAGAACCTATATTCATTTCTTTTTCAGAAAAGCATATCTCCAGATATCGCCTTATCCATGGATAAGTTGTACAGATACTACATCAACTTAACAACAACAAAAAAACTATAAAGCAAATCAATGCTTTAAGAAGAATTTGTGGGCTACCAGTTTTATATATGATGATGGTGTATTCGTCACAGTTCTATTTTCAAAGATCCATTTATAGAGAAAGGGAAAGAATCTGGGGGAGGGGGTGATGGAGAAATGAAACCTTACAGCATTTGAAACCATGGGACCAATATTTTATAAAGCATCCAATCTACTGCAGAACACAACTAAGACGAGTGACAGAGATCATCTGTGTCACACCCTCAGGCAAAATCCTGAGGAAGAAAAAAATGGTAATATTTTGTTCTAGAGTCTATCCTTTTTCCATTAAAAGACAGGTTTATATTTTTCATTTTATTGCAACATTTCCAATGCCGTCCTACAAGAGAACTAGCACTCACAAAAAGCCATCTGAATTTCTTTCAATCGGAACTCATTGTGAATTTTTAAAGGAACTTCACCTACTACTTTTTTAATTAGATGCCATTACTGTTAGTTATCATAAAATACGCTGGATTCCCATGAAGTATCAGTTTGACATCTTGTTTAAATACTTACTTTTCTTCTATCTACTACCAGCCATGTTTACCTTGCTTTCTCCTAACCAAGTAAGATATGAAGATACATATTCAGGCACAAAGTCTTCAGGCTCCTTGATGGATTGTAAAATACAGCTATATACTTCTCTACTATTATTCTTATTTGAAGGCCCTTATGTATTGGGATCTTAATCTATCAAAAGTTGAGAATTACATTCAAAAAAGGGAAGGGACGTCGGACGAAAATGAAAACATGCACTGATGCCTAAGTAAATTAATCTTCATTCCCACTGAAAGTAATCTGATGTCCAGGGACTGGGAATTATTCTACCATAAAATACAGCACATTAAATACTACAATAGCCCATTTGAAATGTCCTAAGATAATGATTATGTCATCTACAAATGATGGTACACATAGTTATATTTTAATATTCATTACTGGAGGTTCTAATGCAAAATATGTTGAAATTGTGAAAATCCTCAGTCGGTTAAAGATAAGATCAAGCAAACCAAATTCTGTAACTGAAAGTAAGACTCAAAATAAGATCTGAAAAAAGAATCGATAAAAGTAAAGGCAAAATATTTGGACCCTGGTTGTTATCATAAACAACACTATCACTCCTGATGGTTTGCATATAAAATTCCTTATCTCCACTAGCTAGTTGAAAAGAATGAAAAGCTTCTCACAACCAGCTAAAAAGAAAGTCTTTACCAGGCTCCTTGAAAAAGCTCATTTTCACATTACTCAGGCTTCATTATGCTAAATCAATATTCGTTTAGTCACTGGGGTTATTGACATATTTTAAAATAAAAGTATACCCTTCAGCTACTGCACTCATTACAGGTAATTTGTCTTGTCAGAGAGCAGGGAATATTATCCTAGTCTTTCAGGGGCTGACAGCCCATGGAAATACCTCCCCATGGTTACAACTGTAAATAATTTTAAGGTAAAATATTGAAAAATCAATGACTGTTTCCTGCAATCTGTCACAAACAAATCAATCATAATCCGTACTGCCAGAGAGTATGATTTGAGGTAGATGGGAGCAGATGTAATTCTTGGCTGAAATCTCTCATTTCAAAATCACTTCACATAATGGTGTCATCATTTAAACACTCAACAGTCAGTGCAACTGCCACTGTAACATCTAGTTGGACAAAACCACAAGGAGGAGGAGGAGAAAACGCCATCGCTATTATGTTAACAAACATTTAATTTTAATGGCTGCTGCCTTAGTAAATTTCAACTGAAAACTGTTTTACCTGTCCCCTTTCACAGTGCTACATTAATCAAGGCTGCTGGTCTATGTATGTATACGAATGCTTAATAAATTAGCCTCTGACTCAAAACTTGACTCTCCTACATACATCTTTTATTTTCAATGTCCGTTATTGAGAATGAAATTTGGAATTAATAAATAAGACATCTGGATTGTAGAATACCCATAATTCTGCCCATACAGCAAAGACAAAAAATAGTGTCGTAGATGTCACGATTATACTTTTAAAGTAGGTTTAAAGGTCTCAGTTGCCCGGATATTAGATTTTATATTTTCCTTCTATTAATACATATTACATTTCAACTTTGTAATATTGTAGCCTATTTTAAGATGACCAGCAAGACCCAGTCAATTCAAAAATACCCTTGCATTCTACACCCAGGCTACAGACTGATACTTTAAAAACTGAAGTAATAACCCAAGTATCTGAAGTGTAAAAGTTGGTCAAGGTCATGATATGGAATTGTTTTGTGAATGTAAACTGCTTTCTAAGTAGTCGCCGATACCACCATTTTTTCCAGGCTACATTTACATTGCTCCCTCGGCTTACAATCTCTACCTCGCCATCAATACGAGAATCTGAGATCGGTGTACTTCGCCTTCTTGTTCTGTTCACCAAAAAAATCATTTTATTTAAAGATCAAAGAGTCTTCTTTCTGCAGGTTTTTGTTTTTTAAATGTACATTAGTCCTTTTAATTGGAAGAACTTGCTTTTAGCTACCACCCTGCTTACTGATTTCTGAATTGTATCACTGGACACCATGAAACCTTTTATTATCCTATTAAATATATACCACCATAAATACATAAATATACCCCTCCATAGGTATAGTTCAGGACGCAGATATTTTGGGTGACTAGAAAAGTATATCATTTTTCTTAAAAAGGAAAAAAAAATAGCTATAAATACCATTCCACAACTTAAGCCTATATACACATTCTCAGGCATTGGTCCTTCATAAAAGGGTTTTACTGTGTTTTTAATTTCACCTGTATATTCAATGTGGCAATGAGGAGACAGCAGCTTTTCGTACGGATACCAACGGGGCATGAATTTGGTCCTTCGAGACTCTCAGAGTCCTTCTTTAACACTAACATTAGATTTTTGAAAATGCAAAAGCACCCGGGTAAATGATCAAAGACATCGTCCAGAGGAAAACAGAGTCCTCCATTCCATGGGAGTTCTTGCAACAGCTGCAGAGGCAGCAGCAAGCCAGCCCGAGCGAGAGGAAAAGGAAAGCACTACCCCTGGCCCAGGACTGCCAGGAAAATGGCAACGGAGCTCAAGGGGTGAACAAGGAAAAGGACCCCCACGTGTGGGAGGCCCGGCGTCGCAGCAGCCCCGGCTGGGCCCAGCTCACTCCCCGGCAGAGCTCTGGAGCCCCTTGTCAAGCACCGAGGTTCCCACCCAGAGTCTGGCTGAGGCTGGCAGGAGATCGCCCCGCGCAGAGTCTGCTCCCAGAGAAGACAACAAAGACTGGGAGGTGAACAAGGACAGGCAAGCAACATGCTGAATGCATGCACATGAGCCACCAACTAAAATGACGTCTACTAGGCCCGGGGAGGCCACTGTCACAGGTCTACTTCTCAGAAAGAAGCTATTTTAAGGGTGCTGAGTAGGCCTAGATGAGGTCTCTCCGCTCTCCCAGCACAGCCCACAGCCCTAGGAGAAGCAGCTCAAAACTCAGCACGGGAAAGTCAGATCGTTTCATACCCCACATTTAAAGAAATTGCTGGCTGGTAGATAAAGTTCTTATATGTAATAAAGGCTCAGGATTACAGAGGAAAGTATTCTTTTAAAAGAGATAGTATTACCTCCCTATCTTCTGAATCTCCTCCTTCCGATAGCCAGTACAGTAGCTCCATTATGAACTGTAGATTCTTAAAAAGAAAAACAGCAATAGTTAGCTTCATCTTCCCCTGCACTTCCTTCCTTCATGGAATTACAATTTAATTATCAATACTTCAATTGATCTTATTCGTGAATGACACGTTTCTCAAAAAGCACACTCTAGCTACTTCCACTAGAGAACATTTAGTACAACCTTCTCAATTAATCAACCATAACCCATTACTGTTGAAAGGACATGTTTTCTTCATATATTTTTTTAAATAGGGGACCCTCCCACCTATTTTATATAAAAGGAGCACTAGTTTTAATACATTTGAGTATCATTAATATACATCAATTATAAACCTTAATAATAAATTTTGGTTGACAACAGATATAAAACAAAACCAATTTGCACATATGTTTAGATTTTTCCTATATTTTTCCTTGGGGGGAGCACCCAATCCTCTGTCTTTTAAATTCAACAACTTTACACGTGGTTAAAAACAACAACAACAACAACAACAACAACAACAACAACAAAGATGAAGCTTAAAGGCATGCGGGGAGGAATCAGACTGCTCACTGCGTCACATTTTCCTTAGATTTCTGTCGTATATTTTCTAACTAGCTGTAAGGCACCAGCTTCAAGTCACACAGGAAACCCTGTCTCCATAAGACCCAATCAGTGACAGGGAAACACAAGTGTGTTATTTAAAAACAATTACATATAATTTCATCTTTATGTTAAAAATCACTTTCAGCCCTTTGAAAGTTTACAGAGAAGCATTTCCTCTACTGCAGGCTATACTAACTAGAGCTACCTTCTGTTTCAGCTAGCCTTTTTTCCTTTGGTCATACAACCATCTTCTTTACCTCAAAATATTCTCTATCACTAAACCCAGTTCCTTGCTCTCCCCAATAGACAACACGAATACACCGCAAAATAATTTTTTCTCATCTGCTTATATTCAGAAGTTCCTATTCTGATGAGAAATGACAAGCTTTACACACACCTGTATACCCTTTATCATTAAAAGAGTTTGGTACCCCTGCCTGGAGCTGATTCTCCCATTAAATTAACTTTTGAAAGAACTGGGTAATGAAAATAATCAAAACCTGTGATTTGGCATAAGCAGATTATTTCCTTTAAGTAGTAACTCCATTTCTATAAAATATAACCTCAGTCTTGACTTTTATGGAAAGCACTGAGTTTACAATTTCACCATCCAATGCTATCATTAAAAATTAATTGTTAAGTAAATTTCCATGAATCAGAATTTTTTCTATTCACTGAACTTTTGTTTAATGCATTTAGTAAAATTTTAATAATCAAAGGCCTCAAGTGACATTCTTTACATTCTGTACTTAGTTCCTATTACTAATATAAATACTTTGGTAAAACCAATACTGACGCTATTTTGGGTTTACTCCACACACAAACACACTGTGTCGCAGACACTCACTTGCAGATGAGCTTAGGGATATACAAGGACAAATTTCAGCCAACTTTTGGAGGAACTCCATAGTTCAGAAGTGAACTTAGCTGAAAACATCCAAATGTATTATGGAAGCATCGTACTTACAACCTGCACAAAAAAAAAAAAAGAAAAGAAAAGAAAAGAAAAGAAAAGAAAAGAAAAGAAAAGAAAATGATTCTGTTTAAAGAAACACAGAAGACTAGTTAAATACTTTTGGGATATTAGATATGAATATCTAATCTAATTTCCTCCAAGGTATCACTCCATATTATGCCAAATAAACAAATAAAGGCTGTATCGAGGTGTGGAATAGCATTAGCCTGAGAAAAGACTAGAAAAATGAATTACATAAATGACAACTGCCGGAGAAAATTATATTTCCTTCTCCTGAACAAATGTTAAGTGCATCCTTACTAATAAAGATTTAAACTTGAACTACATTAGAATATACTGGTTTTCAATTTTGAAGCATCTAAGTTAATTTGCCAAGCTAAGTCGGTGCTTAGGTATACTCTAGCTATAAAAATACTGCAAATGTATGCAGAAATAAGTTATAAGTATCACACTTCACAGTGGTGCTGTGAGATCAAAGCCCAGTCATTACTGCAGAAGGAAAAAACAATTCCAGGATTTTACATCATCTTAGAGTCGCATCAGTTCCATCTTTTAAGAACAATTATTCTCTATAAAACAGCTAACAATATACCAAAAAGATGTTAAAATTAAAGGAGCCGATAAAATGTAGAAATTGAAGGGAAAAACACACAGATATTCAGCTATTAACAGGCAAAAAAGGCTGTGCTACCTCAGAGTTAAAACATGATTCCAAAATATGGCACTGTTTTCATATTCTAAAGAACACATTTAATTCACTTAGGACTACATGATTGCACTTACTTGCACATTATCAACTGAAGAACATTTAAATTTTTCCTAAGATTTCTATATGTAAAAGTATATTAACAATTATGGGGTGCTTGCTATTCATTAAGACACACAATAGGTAATTAGTTCCCATTCTTATTTCATTTCTTTTAACACAGCATATAAAATCTGAAAACAACACATGGGTAACAGCAGAGGGATGCTGATCTTAGCTGCCAGAACAAAAATGTTGATGGGGGGGGGGGGCTTTGAGGGATAAGGAAAGCAATTATCTCAAAATTAATGCTCTTGTTTTAGTTTCACCAAACAAATCTAAATAAGTCTTTCTTTGATTTTAGTTTACCATGTAATTCTAGCTAGCTAATTATCCTTGGAGTCACGAATGAGCTGTGACTCTACACCTGGCTTCTCCGATCATATGCCTATGGCCTCCTCCACTTTCATTTCCTCTTTCTACAGTGACTTATAATATTAAAGAAAAACACTCACACATCTTATATACACCACTGATGGACAGCCAGCTTCCAGGAAATCATGAGCTACAAAGAGAGGGGGAAATCTTAATGCAATACTTATGTTAAAGGGTATTAGGTGCTGGGTGAGCCAAGGGTAATATAATCAGCAGCATCCCTCTTGCTATTGTTTTTGCATTCAGAAATTTGAAGTAAAGGACTGTGATATTATTTTAGTGGTCGCCCAGGTTATGATTCAGATCCTTAAACTAATAAGAGGCTAAAGGCACTACCTTCACTTGCTCATAATTTGAATTTATAGACAATACTTTGGAAGAAATAAAACAGTTTTCTTCTATTTCTGGAAATAAAAACAAGGCATTCCATAAACAACTAAGCTAAATACTTGATGATGTGAATAGAGAAACTACTTTCGAGCATTAAAACATTCTAGGAGACTGTTTTCCAAAATATAAAGTGGCATGAATTTCTCATATATTTACATTTTTTATTATATTCCTGCTTCTGCACATTAAGCGAGACTTCCTCTACAGAATTATTCTCAACATTAATAAATGTTTGCTTAATAACAGACTGTCCCATTTATGCTTTTCTTTCTAAATTAGTAACCATGACTCCACAAAGAGCACAAAGAAAGCTGACAAAGGCATGGCCAAAAAGCCACAAGTAGTATTACTACATGCCAGAGCACTTAACATTAAACTACCATTTCTCTCTAAAACTTCTGTTGCCAGACTGCTCGCAAAATCTGGAAGCTCAAAGACGGGTTTCAAGTGCAATTAAATTCTCCAAAAGCAAAACTGTACAAAAATATGCCGCCCTTCTTATGTCACCATTTTATAGACAACATTTTCTCAGGATCTTAATTAAGATAACGATGCACACCTGTGTCAACATTCTCTGGCAAGACAGCCTTATCAATCATAATCCTTTAAGTACACTCCAAAACAGCAAAGCGATATGACAGAAGCAATCTGTTGCCTTTCCTAGCGCCGGTGTTGTGTCTCACCCACAAGAATGATGAGATCTTTAAAATACAGCAGACCTACTTTTATGAGTCTTTAAAGTTTTAACTGTAAACAGTTATTACACTAAATAAACAGGAATAACCTCTTTTGCACTTGATTTACACAATGACAACTGTTCGGCCAAAACTCGAACAGCAAGCTTTGCAGCCATGTCTTGGCAATGCAATTGTGGATCTTATTTTAAAGCTTGAAATTTTAAGAGTTATGCATAACTGGATCCGTGCAGACATGACAAACCAATAAACCTTTAGGAACTCTTAAAATTACAATTTTCTAAAGGTCCTACATTAAAAGCAATCAGGGCATGCCTATCCCCAGTGTAAGTTAAAATGTTCAGAAGGATATAAATGCAAGACTCTCCCCCTCCCAAAGGAGTCATCTTGGTAACTTAGAAGGAGAGGGAGAGTGTTCCCACCTCTGCGGGGGGGGGGGGGGGGGGGGGGGGGAAGCTTCAGTGACCAGAGACCAGTGAAACTACAGCTTAAAAAGTAAGCAGGTTCCCAAACGGGAAAGCTGATGAATAAAGGAGAAGGCAGGGGAGAGGGAACCTTAACCGTAGCCACTACCAAGATCAAAAGGTAAAAACCTCGTGTTTACCAGCCAAAACGTAAAAACTTTCAAAGGAACACTGAGAAACCCCGCCAGATGCTATTTGAATCCCATCTGCCTGCTAATGATCAGTTCTTCCATTTCACATATTAACACAAGTCTGAGACGCCAGGCGGCCGTGGCCAGCCGAGCAGCAGAGCCATCAATGTGCAAATAAAGCAGAAAATAGAGACATCCTTAAGAAATGAGTCTTAAATTTGACGTCGAGCGGAGGTGACAACCACGGCAACAGAACTATAAATTCGAAATGCTTCAATATCTTTCGGGATTCTCTCCAGACCTTGACACCAAAAAGAAGACAGTAAAAGGAAAGGGGAGGGCAAGGGGGGATAGCCTAGCGGCCCAGAGTGGCAGGATGATGTAATGAGGATGTCTGTGTGACAGACTCAGATTCTCGGTGGCACAAACCTCCATGGCTCCATGTCAGAAAACAGCATCCTGGACGAGAGCCGAGAGGGTGCTGCGGCCGCGCGTGGATGGAGGGGACACGCCCACGCGCGCCCGCCCGGGCACCTTGACATCAGGAAAGGCCTGCCCAACACTCACGCGGCCCACGCCCACCCTGCGGCTCCCGGGGCACCGCCGCGGCCATCCGGTCCACGAAGGGACTCGGACGCGGCGCTAGGGGCAGTGAGCCCGGGCGCGACCCGGCGGGAACGCGGCGGGACAGGGTACCCGGGACCCACCTCTCCTCCGCCGCGCGGGCGCGCGGACCGCGGACGCTCCCTCGTGGCTGGCGCGAGCCCCCGGCGGGCGGCGCGCGCGGGCAGCTACCGACCGTTAGCGCGAGGGGCTGCCGCGGCGGCAGGGGCGGCGGCGGCGGCAGGGGCGGCGGCGGCGGCGGCGGCGGCGGCGACTGCGGCGGCGGCGGCGGGCGGAGCCGGGGGCGGGCGCTGAGGAGCACAAGGGCCGCGAGAGGCGGGAGCAAAGGGAACGAGGAGGGGGTAGCTCCCCGCGACCACTCGGACTACACCGAGCTCCCCTTGGCCGCCCGAAAAGCCATCACCGGCCAGCTAGGCGCTCCCTCCCGCTCCGGCCGTCCCGGGCGCCCGGCCTCGCCTCAGTCCCGGCCCGCTGGCAGCCACCTGGGCCGGGCAGTGCCCGCCTCCGTGGCGGCCAGCTTCTCGTCTCCATGACAATAGCGCGCCGTCGCCCCGCCCTGTCCCACCCCCTCGGCGCCGTGACTCGGAGGGAAGTGGGCTCACGTCGCTGAGGGGCGGGGCCAGTGGAGGCCAGCGTCCAATTAGAGATGGAGGCAAGGAGGGACAGGGCGGGGCTGACAGAGACATTGCCGAATGTCTGCTTGAGGGGCGGGGCGTGGGGGGGGGGGGCGAAGCTGACGCTGGGGGAGGAGTTAGCGCGCCTGCGTGAAGTCCTGCACCGGAGCGCGTCCGAGTTTACTTCAGTGGGTCAGTGTGAGGGGCCTGGAGCTCTGTAAATAAAGTGTATCTTGCTTGTCAAAGTCTTTGCGGGGAACTGTGTAGTTGTCTTTCGGCCTGCGTGTGCCGCAGTTTTATGAAAGGTCACGAAGTCCGTGATATACCGAGCTCCAGTGGAGTGCCCAACACTGTGCCAGCCCTGTTTTGGTTCACCAGCGCCCCTGTCTGTCCCAGAGTTCGAGTGCGTCTGGCTTGTGGCTGCGCGGGATGGAGAGACAGGCAGGGGGTCTGTTTTGTATTCTAACTGTGTGGCCGTCGTGGGCAAGGGATCTGCCTGTGACTCAGTTGTGTGTGTTTGCCTTGCCAGCGCCTCGCTGAACAAACAGTGGTTGGGTTGGGCAAAGCTGAGTGTTTGCAATGGAGCGTGGGCGGGTGCTAAAGTGCGCGCTAAGGGGAAGGGGACCCGCACCCTCCACCACCACCGGCCTGGTAGAGGGAGCTGCGGATGGAAAGCCCGAGGAAGAGGCGGCGAGGCATGGTGGGGGCCAGAGGGGGTGTAGTGGGGTCCGTGGACCTACTCTGGTACAGCTGCTTCTTCATGTGGCAGCTCTTGCCCATTACCTCTCCTCTAGAGAAAGGCTCTCCCCGTAATCCCGGCCCTCCCCCTTCCTTGCCGTTTGGCGGGGAGTTGGTGGAAGGAGGCCGGAGACGTGCAGATGTCCAAGGCCTGTCTCTCGCCCACCTGCTGCTGCTGGCGGAGAGGGACAGTCATCTCGGCCTCCCCGCGCCCCGTACGAGGGCATCCCTCCGTCTCTTCTAGGGACCTTCATTCCAGGTCTCCAACTCGCTCTCCGGCTCCGTGGCTTGGGGGAGAAGCCAGGGGCGGGTAGGTGACGGTCCGCTTGGGAGCCCAGCCTCTTGCGGAACAAGAAATCCGCTAACTCCGCTGTTTACTGTGGCAAGCACAGAGCAGAACGTTCGCCCGCGCCCAGCCCGCCGCCTCGCTGCCTTTGTGCTTCGGAGCGACCGGACCCGCCACCAGGGCCTGCCTTGTGTCGGAACCGCCACTCTACCCCGACTTAGCAGGGAAGGAAAGTTGGAAGAGATAGGCGCGCCTGGGATGTGATTGTCATCCTGGGGCCGGCGCTCGAGAGTCTGAGAAAGAGAGAGAGGGAGAGAGACCCGGGAGAGAGGGGGGGGTGGGGGGAGAAAAAGAGGAGGGTGGAGAGGAGGGCCGCGGAGGAGAGGCGGGCGCGAGGGAGGGGCGAGGGGAGCGCCAGCGAGCGGGAGAGGGAGCCGGGGAGGAAGAGGGAGAGGGCGAGGCGCGCCTGGCGGCCGGGTTGGCTGCGGCCGCCCAGAGGATCCTGCCAGTCCTCCCACCGACTACACCCCGGGAAGGAGGAGCTTCAGGCGCGCACAAGGCGTCAGAATCCTCAATTTCCAACTTAGCATCTTGGCAGGACCTTTGCGAAGCCAAAAGCAGAGCCCCCCAGTGCAAAGAGCGAGGGGGAAAAAGAGAAAGCTGCAAGGGAGGGGGGAGAAACCCAGCCGGGGCGAGCAAGGCGCGCAGAGGAGAGGGCTCGGCAGTCGCAGCCGGAGGCGCGCGGGAAGCCAGCGAGGAGGCGCCGCGGGCCGGAGCCCGGGAGCCGGGGCCCGAGAAGCGGCAGCCGGGGGCAGCCGGAGGCCAGGTGCCCGCCCGCTCGCCCTAGCAGGGCGCCGCCCGGCTCGTTGGCGGCCGCGGCGCGGCGCGCCCCATGCCCGTGTGTGGCCATGTCCTACCCGCAGGGCTACTTGTACCAGCCGTCCGCCTCTCTGGCGCTCTACTCGTGCCCGGCGTACAGCACCAGCGTCATCTCGGGGCCCCGCACGGATGAGCTCGGCCGCTCGTCGTCGGGCTCGGCATTCTCGCCCTACGCCGGCTCCACCGCCTTCACCGCGCCCTCGCCGGGCTACAACTCGCACCTCCAGTACGGTGCCGACCCCGCGGCTGCCGCCGCCGCCGCCTTCTCTTCGTACGTGGTGAGTGAGCGGGTGCCGCGGCGGGCAAGGGCAGCTGGGGCCGCGCGGGGCGGGCGGGGGCTGCGGAGGACACGGGCCCTGGCGCCACCGCGACCGCCCCCGCCAAGCTTCGCGGCCCCTGCAAACTTGGGCGACTGTCTCGCTCGGCTTCTCCCGGGCCTCGGGCTCAGGAATTGCTCGGAGAGCAGAGCCGAGTCCTGCTTGGGTCGCTGAGCGGGCGGAGAGGGTTTTTTGGGGGAGAGGTCGCTGCAATTAAAGAGCAGCGTCTGGCTCAAACATGAGCTCCAGGCCGCCCTGCAGATTTTATTTTATTTTACTTTATTGGTTTTGCCATTTTGGAAAAGTAGTTCAAAAGAAACGGACCAGAAATCAGAGCAGAAGCGCGCTAAGTCAATGTAAATGTGTTTGGCCTCGCCTTTAATTAGTCCTCCAAAATGTTGCAAATCCGTAATCCTATCTTCGCAATCCGATTTGGAGGTATTAGATTTCTGAAAAGTCGGCCGAGCTGCGGTGCATCCGGGATTTTTCGGCCGGGTGTACTTTCTGGAAAAACGCCGTGGCTTCGGTTTGGGGTAACATTTTTGGGGGGGTGAGAGTGCCCGGGCAAGGCTTAGCTTTTCCTTTGCCTTTCTCTATGGGGGGGGGGGAATGCCTTGACTTCCCTTGCTCTCTCCCCTTGCGCCTAACGTGCAGCCATCCGGGCACGAAGTGCCGAGTCGCCGCCGCTGCCCAGGCCTCCATGTGGGTGGAGGGCCTGGCCAAGGTGGCCCGATCTGCGCGTGGGGGACGGACTTGCCCCGGCAGACGCCGGCCTACTGGGTGCCGCTGAGGCCAGGACGGCTTCAAGCGTCCCCAAAAGATGGGAGTCAGGAGTTGGTGCCCCCCCCTCTCCCTACGGGGGAGGAGGAGGAGGAGGAGGAAGAGTTGCCCCTGGGTCTGAGCCCGCCAGCCCTACCCCAGGGGAAGTCGGAGTTTGGGCCTCGCAGCTCGAGGACCCCTGGGCGCAGGGAAAACGTGCTTCGGTCGTCTAGGTGGTCCTGGGGACCACGGCCCGCTCTCACCCTCTCTTTGCCTGTTCCTTGCAGGGCTCTCCCTACGATCATACGCCAGGGATGGCAGGTTCCCTAGGGTACCACCCCTACGCGGCGCCCCTGGGCTCGTACCCCTACGGGGACCCCGCGTACCGGAAGAATGCCACACGAGACGCCACCGCCACGCTCAAGGCCTGGCTCAACGAGCACCGCAAGAACCCCTACCCCACCAAGGGCGAGAAGATCATGCTGGCCATCATCACCAAGATGACCCTCACCCAGGTGTCCACCTGGTTCGCCAACGCGCGCCGGCGCCTCAAGAAGGAGAACAAGATGACGTGGACGCCGCGGAACCGCAGCGAGGACGAGGAGGAGGAGGAGAACATTGATCTGGAGAAAAACGACGAGGATGAGCCCCAGAAGCCAGAGGACAAGGGCGACTCCGAGGGCCCTGAAGCAGGTTGGTGGACGCGGGAAAGGGTGTGTTGGAGCGGGAGTAAGAAGGAAAAGGGGGGGCCTGGAGGTTGGGGGCTAGGGTCACTGCCTTTGCCGGCGGGGACCTGGGCCCCACCGCGCGGCCTCCGCGTCCCTAACGGCCTGGGGTTTCACCCGCAGGAGGAGCGGAGCAGAAGGCGGCTTCGGGCTGCGAACGGCTGCAGGGGCCGCCCACCCCCGCCGGCAAGGAGACGGAGGGCAGCCTCAGCGACTCGGATTTTAAGGAGCCGCCATCCGAGGGCCGTCTGGACGCGCTGCCCGGGCCCCCCCGCGCCGGCGGGCCTTCCCCGGCGGGGCCAGCGGCAACGCGGTTGGCCGAGGACCCGGCCCCTCACTACCCCTCCGGCGCTCCGGCTCCGGGCCCGCATCCAGCCGCGGGAGAGCTGCCCCCCGGTCCCGGCGGGCCCTCGGTCATACACTCTCCGCCACCGCCGCCGCCACAGGCGGTGCTCGCCAAGCCCAAACTGTGGTCTCTGGCAGAGATCGCCACATCCTCGGACAAAGTCAAGGACGGGGGCAGCGGGAGCGAAGGCTCTCCATGCCCACCGTGCCCCGGGCCGGTAGCGGGGCAAGCCTTAGGAGGCAGCCGCGCATCGCCGGCCCCGGCGCCATCGCGCTCGCCCTCGGCGCAGTGCCCCTTTCCCGGCGGGACGGTGCTGTCCCGGCCTCTCTACTACACGGCGCCCTTCTATCCCGGCTATACGAACTATGG